GTTGATTTCAGTAGAACGCGGGAAGAGCAAAGTTGGTGTAGCTCCAATCCTATGTAAGTCGCATAATATTCTCTTATAATTTCTCCAGATAGAAGGGGGCTGGAGTAAACAGTGTGAGCATAACAGTGGACTATCTTTGTGGTCTCTGAAGCTATTGTAAGATATGTTGGTTTTGTGTTTATAATTGAGATGAACAGATGGTGAAGACTTCATTTAAAGCAGAACTGTATATCCATTAAAAAATATCTGCTGACAGTGTCTCTTCACTAATTGCATATACAGCACAATAACGCAGAAGAAAGAGTTTGAGCCTTTTCAGCCACTTACTATTTTAGGACAATAGTGGGGTCTTGTCAGGAAAAAAAATGTCCTCCAGGATAATAGATGCTGTTTTCCTATCTGTGCTGAAATGTACATAATATGAGCATGTTATATTATAGGAGACAGAGAGAAAGGTATTTGCCCACCATTCGGAGGTGGGTGGATAGTATTTGTAGCACCACCAAGAAAGCATTTGAAGTGACTTAAATCCAATTTTGTTTTCTGCCATTTTAAGCAAGAGTAACAGGACGGGAATGCCATACCCGGTGTGCACGGCACAGCTGCCCCCACCAGGGTGCCGGACGGAGAGCAGCCCCCCACCCGGTGCTGCCATTGGAGTGGTTTTGCCTGCCTGCCTGCGCCTTCACCACAGAGCAGGCAATGGGCACGCACATTCACTGGCCTCATCCCAGGAATCCTGGAATGAATCTTGGCCGATATCCCTGCTGTTATCCCCAGTGATCAGTAATGTGCTAGGGGGCTGGAGATAACAGCAGCAATACCTTTTTCCACTGGCCGGGAGGGGGCTTTGAGAGCAGATGGGGAACCTCCGCAAGCCAAATTAGTTTCATCGATCAGAGGTTCCCCATCCCTGGGTTAAATAAATTAAACCCTGCCTTTCTCAGACTCAGGAACACTGACCTAAAACAACTAAAAATATGTAGTGGTAACATGGAAAGAAACAGAGCAGCAACAATAATCAGAAGTTAAATCCTTACTGGGTGAGTGAGTCTCTGGTTCAGGGCCACAGCTTCTATTCCGTGGCCCAACTCACCATGCAGCAATCATGCTTTATTTATTTTAAGCTCATTTTGGAGCCACTGGGAACCTTTTATCAAGCCTAATAGCTTGGTCGGGGGATCATCCATCAGTCTCAGCTGTGGAGGAAAGCCTCTCGGAATGCATGCATAAAACGAAGTGAGCCATGCTGGTCTGGTAGAAGAAACCCCAGATCCATGCTCAGTGTACTCTCTCACCTGTTGAAGTAGTCTGGAGATCGCTGAAGCTTGCCTGCAATCTTCCACAGGATAAATATGTTCTTCGTCGTGTAGGGAACAGCAGCTCCGGACAGCACCTCATGAAGGGCGCTGTAAAGTCACGGAACGAAAGGAAGGCATTGGAGCAGGGCCCAAGCTGTAGAGCATGACTCATACAAGCAGAGGCTGCCTTTCACATTTTTTGTTTTGCAAACCTTGAATGCATTCATAGATCAGAGCCCTTGATGAGCATGTGGAATTAGCCCAGAAGCACGCTGGTGGCCACTGCCTTTGTTGCAAGATGAGCCGAATGTGCCGGAGCTGCCAGCTCACACACCCCTCAGGAGGTGGGCACAGGCAAGAGTAGGATGTAGATGTACCACGTGGTCCACTCCCGGACGTGACAAAAGTGCAGATAACTGTGTGGTGAGAGCCTTCATCTCCACACAAGGGGGCAGGTCTACACAATAACTGCAACAAGTAAAAGAAATCCCTAAATGCACTAAAGGGATTGTGTGTTGCCATTTTCTTTTGATCCACTTGCTGCTTTACATTACTGCTCAATCAGTGGAGGCCAGGAGACTGTTTTTGTGGGCAGCCAAAGCTGCTTAACTGAAGCATTCGTAGGCTAAGTAAGGATTTGGCTAATTTAACAAGCAAAGAATGATACGATGGATATTTGTGATTGGCAATGGCCTTCCTATATTTTTGCTGTTTGGTTGCTTTTACATGATTAGTCTTCTTTCTACCACAGATTTTAGGAATGGTGGCAGCAGTATGTAAAGGCCCAGAATACCACCACAGACACTAATTTGAATATCATCTGGGAATAAAGCTGCCAGCTTCCCAGTCCAAAATCTGTGGCATCAGATGGTGGGCCTTTAACAAGTTTGAGTCCTGTTCAGCCATTTCCTGGATCACATCTGGAGCGAAAGTGTGTCGAGTGGCACAGGCGCACACAGACATCCTGTCTCCAGTGCTCCTGTGAGGCTGCACTCCAGTGGGTGAACAGGGACAAAGATGAAAAGGGTTGGTTCAAAATCCAAAAAATAACAGCATATTGTAACTTAAAGCTCTTGCTGCCCAGAACTAAGCCTTAAGACAGGTTTTCAGCCTTTCAGAAGAGGGGAAACAACTGCACAAAAGCAGAGAAACCATTAAACTATTAGTGATTGGGAGAAATGGGACAGTTCCAGGGGAAAGGGATGCAGCCCTCTGGAGAACCCCGAAGGCCAGGCTTGGTATCCAGTCCTTAGGTTCCCTACCCCATTTTTAGCATTTACATTTATCCTTACAGCAGTTAAAAGGTACTCTTGATTGGATAGTGCAAAATGTGGGCTATTGCAGCATTCCTGTTATAAAACAAGCCAAAATGAAACTGAGCACGATATGACAGCTGGGCGGTTTACAGAGCATGGATAAGACGCGTGTCCAATAACTTAAGTTTGGGGTAGCAAGCTTACCAACCTGAAGTGCCATGCAGCCTATGTTGACTTAGAAGCAAGAAACACACGTTCAGTGAATCCAACTGCTGCATGCGCATTGGACTGGCACCTTCATATGTAAGTGTAATTGCATGCCTATGGCAGTGGGGGAAGCCTCTGATTCTGGCCTTTCTGTACAAAAATTTCCTAACCTGTGAAAAGAAACATTCAGGGTGTAAAAAAAAACCCCTCAACTAGTTGGCAGGGCTAATTGAAAACTGTTTGGAAATACAAATAATACATGGGAGGGCATAGACTGGAAGAAAGTCAGGCTGGGAGCGAAAGGACCTCACAATATCACCAACTTTTAAAAACATTCATTTGGCTAATTTGCATCACATAATACAGAAAGGAGTGCTTGATTTTAAGATGCAGTTGTAGTGATTGATTATTATATTTGTAGCATATAGGGATAAATAATTGCTGAGAAGGAGTATAGGAAATATTTTCCTGTGAATGCAATAATGTGCAAGTCATGTGAAGCACAGTTCAAAATACCAACACACCAACATACCATGAAAGCATTTGAATAATGAATAACCATACTTAAATTCTTGATTCTAAAGAAAGCAAAAGCCAAGTGTAGCCACACATATACCCTGCACGTTAAAAAGCCAAGTCTGATACACTCAGAACAATGATGAGTAAGGTCCCATGGCAAGAGAAAAGGAGTCCAGGATGGGTGAACATTTTTTAAAAAAGAAATTCTGAAGGTACAATTGCAAACAACTCCAACAAGAAAAAAGGTGGAAGACAACAGAGAAAGCTAGTGTAGTTTCACAAAAAGCTTAGTGATGAGCTGAAAACAAAAAGGAAGTGGAATGAAGGCCAGGCTGCAGAGGAAGAGTATGGGCAGGTAGCTGATGGGAGGAAGGGGTCCTGCTGGCAGTGGCTATTTTTGGCCACACATACTTCAAAACTGCATTTAACGTAATATAGTTTGGCCTTCACGGGATCCCCTTGGAAAGTCACATGCCCTCTCAGCCTAACCTCACAGAGCCTAACCTTTTCATGGGGATAATATAGGGATGGGCTGGAGAAAACCCTGGAGATCATGCCGGTCTCTTCAAAGGAAGAATCGTCTGGAAGTGGAAAACATCATCACGTGAACCATAATAACACAAAAGATTGATCTGCATTAGGGAAATAACATCGACTAAACTTTAGATAAGATATTCAACATATGGATTTTTGTTCCCTTTCTGAAGGTGATATTCCTGATTTATTTAGCGAGGATGAGTTGGATAGCATCATTTCTTCGACAAGGACGGAACTACGGGGGCTTGGCCAAGCTGATTCAAAAGAGAACTGCTGGCAATTTTTTATTGACCGTATTCGTCGGCAGCTAAAGGTACAGATGGAAAATGAGTATAATGGAAAACATTCAGTATATAATCACTGCTGTAGGATGAGGTGTACAGAATGAATTCTCACAATAAACACTGTTTTGTGAGAAATTATCAATATATTGATTTTTTAATATACAGAATCTAGTTATCGGATGTTGAAAGAATATCCTATCCTTTTAATCTTTGCAGTAATTGTAAAACAAAAATGAAGTATGGAAGCTCAATTTGGATCTTAGCATTGTATCTCATTTTTTACTGATGTAGAAACCTGCAAGCCTGCATCTCACAGAAGACATAATAATAATTATCATTGATTTTGTGTTGTTGTTTAAAGGAAAATTTAGTAGCTTCTACAGTTGTAAGTCATTTGGCAGAGATGTAAAGGCAATTACTGAGCTGAGAGCATCTAACGTGTAATTTTTCATATATGAATAGTTCCACTGAATTATTATTCTAGACTATTCATATGAATAAAACTGTCCAAAGAGTTAGCTGGTTGCTGTAAAAACAACAGAGTTCTGCAGCTCATAAAAACATTAACACGTTTATTTAAACTGTTGTAAACTGCCCAGAAGCCTTGGTTGTTGGGAAAGGCAGGAGTTGAATGAATAAACTTCTGTGGATTCGAATTGATTTACTCACATTCAAGAAGGGGTGTGTGTGTGTGTGTGTGTGAGAGAGAGAGAGAGAGAGAGAGAGAGAGATGGCTGTAGGGGAAAGAAATGAAAATGTAAACAGGGGATTCAAAGGACTGTGGAATATGCAAAGTGCAGCTTGAAACTATCCCAGGGGGCAGATCAGTGGGAATGCCTGCAAGCCTCCAAAGTCAGAGGACTGAGGGCAGCCTGTGCAGGGCAGGAGAAGGCAAAAATCGCATCCTCAGTCCTCCTCAGCCAGTTCCGGCCATCTGGCCGTGGCACTTCAGAAGGAGAGGGATGGACGCTGGATAGCTGTCAGGATGCTGTGTCTTTGAGCCCCCCTGGCCACATCTGCTCCCCACCCTCTGGAATGCCCCTTCCTCCCTTCTCTGCAGTTGCTGCTTTCAGCTTGGAGAAGCAGCCACTGGGGCTCTTCCTATACCAGCTCAGCTACAGGATTCCTGGCTTTGCTATTTCAACCCTGTGACCTCCAGGCAGGCCACGTATGCCTTGCCCAAAAGAGGACATGTTTGTTTAAAAAAAAAGAGGTGAACATTTTCATAACACTTGTATATACTGATGATGATAATAATATGATTACAATAATAGTTACAATTACAATTACAATCTACACAGTATGTATATGAGATGCTAATTTTAAAAATGGGTATGGCAATTTAGTACAAAGAGAACTTCCGTAGTGGCCCGGAGGAGGGCCTTCTCTGCGGTGGCACCCCACCTATGGAATGCGCTCCCCAGAGAGGTCCACCTGGCGCCGTTGTTATTTGTTTTTCGGCGCCAGGCCAAGACCTTTTTATTTAAAACTCATTTTAAGTTCATTGATTCATTGAACTTGATTATTTGTAGGATTTTATTTTTTTTAAGCCGAGATGCACCGGGTTTTAATATTTTTATTGTATAATTTTGTTCTTGCTGTGAGCCGCCCCGAGGCTTTGTTATGATGGGGGCGGCATAAAAATGTTTTAAATGAATAAATAGTGGGGGAAACCATGCCCCAGCAACATTGGTGCTTGCCAATGGGCTGGCAGAATGCCCCTGTGCTCTCTTCTCTCTTATCTTTAAGCTGGACTTGGACAAGAGAAGGCACCTTTGAACAAAAAACTGTTCTCTGACAGCTATTGAAATCAAGACCACATAGGACACATGGCCACCCTAGACTGACCTCTAGTCCACAAAAAATTGATGTGATAATACATCTGTTAGTTTTTAAGTGGCTTCAGAACACTTGACTATTTTTGCAGCAACAGGCTAACATGATCCCATAATAAATAGCCAGATAGTCATCTCCATCATGCAGATTGCTCTGTACATAAAGTAGATCCGAATGAGACTTGGACCCGTAAGCAAGAAAGCATAAAACACACGTGCCTGGTTTGCATGGACAAGGATCGCTTCCAAGTCAATGATCACTAAAACGGTTGGAAAGTCTGGCATGACTTGCGGCAGAGTTGCCATGTACAAATAAAGCTAGTCACTCAAACCTCCAGTTTTAGAGGGAATAAAGGCAAGCTAGAGTAGGTTTAGAAGTGCAAATCACCTTATTAGTCCTTTTGTATGAATCCTCAAAGGAGACTGATCATCTTGAACTACAAGCACTCGCAAAGACATGAGATATGCTTACTTGCTCCCATACGGGCGACAGGGCACATGTTGCTTGTTGCAGAGGTAATGGAAGAAGGGGCAGAGCAGGAAAAAGGAACTATAGGACAGCAAGGGACGTGAAGGGAACAAGTGGCTCTTGATAACACACGTACTATTGCCCCTAGTTTCTGGAAGCCTGCTCCTATTATAAAACAAAAACAATCTTAGGTGTCCTAATATCAATCTAATTAACATTCAGACTAATTGGATTCTTCACCATGCCAATAAAGGTGTTTATGATTTGGATGCCAGAGTGTTGATGAATACATACATGGTTTCTTCCTTTGCAGAATTTGTCTGAATATTCCCCATTATACCTGGAAAAATAGAACAGGTCCAACTTTGTTTTTATTATACATTAGAAAAGAAAAAATAACTATTTAAAGAAGCGAGGAAGTGCTGCTTCTTTATCTACTTCACAGCAATATTTAACTCTTAAGAAAAACACCCTCATTTATATGTTAGTAGTTAAGGTTTACTTCTAAAGTATGTTGTTGTTGTTAGTCGCGAAGTCGTGTCCGACCCATCGCGACCCCACAGACAACATTCCTCCAGGCCTTCCTGTCCTCCACCATCCCCCGGAGTCCACCTAAGCTCACACCAACTGCCTCAGTGACTCCATCTATTTATTTATTAAATAAATTTAATTTTATTTATTTATACAAATAAATCAATTAAAATACTATAAATTAACAATGTAAAACAAGTTAACAATATAAAATAAGTCTAGCCACCTCATCCTCTGCCGTCCCCTTCTTCTTTTGCCATCCATTGTTCCCAACATTAGGCTCTTCTCCAGGGAGTCCTTCCTTCTCATTAGGTGGCCAAAGTATTTGAGTTTCATCTTCAGTATTTGACCTTCTAAAGAGCAGTCAGGGTTGATCTCCTCTAGGACTGACCGGTTTGATCGCCTTGCAGTCCAAGGGACTCGCAGGAGTCTCCTCCAGCACCACAATTCAAAGGCCTCGATCCTTTGGCACTCAGCCTTCCTTATGGTCCAGCTTTTACAGCCATACATTGCAAATGGGAAAACCGTAGCCTTGACTATACGCACTTTTCTCTGCTTTTTAGTATGCTGTCTAGATTTGCCATAGCTTTCCTCCCCAGGAGCAAGCGTCTTTTAATTTCTTGGCTGCAGTCCCCATCTGTGGTGATCTTGGAGCACAGGAAAATAAAATCTGTCACTACCTCCATTTGTTCCCGATCTCTTTGCCAGGAAGTGAGAGAACCAGATGCCATGATCTTAGTTTTCTTAATGTTGAGTTTCAAGCCAACTTTTGCGCTTCCTCTTTCACCCACTCTTTAGTTCCTCTTCACTTTCTGTCATGAGAGTGGTATCATCTGTATATCTGAGGTTGTTGATATTTCTCCCAGCTATCTTAATTCCAACTGATGATTCATCCAGCCCCGCCTTTCTCATGATGTGCTCTGCATATAAGTTAAATAGGCAGGGCGACAGTATACAGCCTTGCTGAACTCCTTTCTCAATTTTGAACCAATCAGTGGTTCCATGTCCAGTTCTCACTGTTGCTTCTTGACCCGCATATAGGTTTCTCAAGAGACAAATAAGATGGTCTGGTACTCCCATCTCTTTAAGAACTTGCCACAATTTGTTGTGATCCACACAATCAAAGGCCTTTGCATAGTCAATGAAGCCAGAAGTAGATGTTTTTCTGGAACTGCCTAGCTTTCTCCATGATCCAGCATATGTTGGCAATTTGATCTCTAGTTCCTCTCCCTCTTCGAAATCCTGCCTGTACTTCTGGTAGTTCTCGGTCCACATACTGCTGGAGCCTAGCTTGTAGGATTTTGCTAGCATGTGAAATGAGTACAATGGTGCGGTAGTTTGAACATTCTTTGGCATTGCCCTTCTTTGGGATTGGAATGTAAACTGACCTTTTCCAATTCTGCGGCCACTGTTGAGGTTTCCAAATTTGCTGGCATATTGAGTATAGCACATTTACTGCATCATCTTTTAAGATTTTGAATAGCTCAGTTGGAATACTGTCACCTCCACTAGCTTTGTTGTTCTCAGACTTCCTAAGGCCCATTTGACTTCACATTCCAGGATGTCTGGCTCAAGGTCAGTGACCACCGCATCGTGGTTATCAGGGACATTAAGCTCTTTCTTGTATAGTTCTTCTGTGTAATCTTGCCACCTCTTCTTAATCTCTTCTGCCTCTGTTAGGTCCCGGCCATTTTGGTCCTTTATCACACCCATCTTTGCATGAAATGTTCCCTTCATATCTCCAATTTTCTTGAAGAGATATCTGGTCCTCCCTATTCTATTGTTTTCTTCTATTTCTTTGCACTGTTCATTTAAGAAGGCATTCTTATCTCTTCTAGCTATTCTCTGGAATTCTGCATTCAATTGGGTGTATCTTTCTCTTTCTTCCTTGCCTTTCGCTTCCCTTCTTTCCTCAGCTATTTGTAAAGCTTCCTCAGACAGCCATTTTGCTTTCTTGCATTTCTTTTTCTTTGGAATGGCTTTAGTTGCTACCTCTTGTACAATGTTGCGAACCTCTGTCCATAGTTCTTCAGGCACTCTGTCTATCAGATCTAATTCCTTAAATCTATTTGTCACCTCTACTGTATTTTCATCAGGGATATGATTTAGGTCATACCTGAGTGGCCTAGTGCTTTCCCTTACTTTCTTCAATTTAAGCATAAATTTTGCAACCAGAAGCTCATGATCTGAGCCACAGTCAGCTCCTGGTCTAGTTTTTACTGACTGTATAGAGCTTCTCCATCTTTGGCTGCAGAGCACATAGTCAATCTGATTTCTGTGTTGACCGTCCATGTGTAGAGTCGTCTCTTGGATTGTTGGAAAAGAGTGTTTGCTATGACCATCGTATTCTCTTGACAAAATTCTACCAGCCTGTGCCCTGCTTCATTTTGTACTCCAAGGCCAAACTTGCCTGTTATCCCAGTTATCTTTTTGCTTCCTACTTTAGCATTCCAATCCCCCACGATGATAAGGACATCATTTTTTGGTGTTAATTCTAGAAGGTGTTATAGGCCTTCATAGAACCGGTCAACTTCAGCCTCTTCAGCACCAGTGGTTGGGGCATAAACTATGACAATTGTGATGTTGAATGGTTTTCCTTGGATTCGAACTGAGATCATTCTGTCATTTTGGAGGTTGTGTCCCAGAACTGCTTTTCCTACTCTTTTATTGACTATGAAGGCTAGTCCATTTCTTCTGAGGGATTCTTGCCCGCAGTAGTATACCTGATGGTCATCCGAATTAAATTCACCCATTCCTGTCCATTTTTGTTCACTGATTCCTAAGATGTCGATGTTCAGTCTTGTCATCTCTTGTTTGACCACATCCAGCTTGCCTTGATTCATGGATCTTACATTCCAGGTTCCTATGGAGTAAAGATCTTTGCAGCATCAGTCTTTCCTTTCCCCACCAGATATATCTGCAACTGGGTGTCCTTTCGGCTTTGACCCAGTCACTTCATTCTTTCTGGCGCTACTAGTACTAGCCCTCCGCTCTTCCCCAGTAGCACATTGGACACCTTCCGACCTGAGGGGCTCATCATCTGGCGTCATATCTTTTTGCCTTTTGGTAGTGTCCATGGCAAAGATGCTGGAGTGGGTTGCCATTTCCTTCTCCAGTGGATCACGTTTTGTCAGAGCTCTCTGCTATGACCTGTCCGTCTTGGGGATCCTGCATGGCATAGCTCATAGCTTCATTGAGCTACGCAAGCCCCTTCGCCATGACAAGGCAGTGATCAATGAAGGAGTTCTAAAGTATATGAAGTATTTAATTAATTCTAAGAATTCATATGATATTTCCAAGACTAAAGAGGTCGGTAGTTGGGTATCATTTTAGCTAGATAGTTCCTTTGCCTTTATGTTAAAGCAGAAAGTAGCAAAGAGAAAGAGTTCGGGTGAATAAACTGTGTTGCACAGCATTGACCAAATCCACTTTTTAGTGTTTGCCAGTGGGGACTTAGCATTTGAAAGCAGTCCTCATTTTTGCACTGTCACAAAGCAAAAAATCTCTTGTATGTTGCACATGACCCTAGCAAACAGATCCAAGTTTGTCAGCAGTGGAGGCATGATAGCAAAAGACATAGAAAAGCCTCCTCAGTGGCTGCTCCTAGCCTGAAGAATTCTCTTGCAAGGAAGGTTTGGATGTGCCCCTCTCTCTTAAGCATCAGCTGGCCAAACTGTTTTTCTTCTGTCGGGCCTTTATCCCTTTACATTAAGCCATTTTAATAGGCTGGTACCCTGTTTTTAGCTTTTATCTCCTGCTTCTGTCTCTGGAATTAAAGGGACTGTATAATTTGTTTTTATGTGCTCTGCAGGCAAATGTGTTTTAATGTTTGCAAGCATCTCTGTGTGTCGTCACCACATTTGAGCTGTCAGGATTTGTAAATGAAATCATAAAATGTCATCATCCAGGGCCATGTCAAAACTTCCTTGGAGCATAATGTGCCCTGTAGGACTACATTCATGTTTTGCTGCTTGAGGTACATCCAGCGCACCCTGGTTCGCTCGCAGATCTTATATCACCATTATGACCTTGCTACTTCCTTTCAGACCTTCTCCAAAGGTCTGATCAATACCTTCTGCTTCTCCATTCTTCTGATGATGGATAGCCTTGGTAGCTCTTTAATCTTTATTGGTCTTCAATCAAATTCTTCATGGTGACCTTCGGGTTTGGATTCCTATTGGTTACTCTGGAAAATTTCCTTTTAAGAAATAAGGAGTATCTAAGGAAACTGTTCGTTTTTATCATCAGTGAATCAGAACCCCATGTCCTTTACATTTGTGTTTTATAGCCACTAACATTAAAATGGTGTTTGACATGATTTTCTGAAACCTTCTTTGATGTTAAGTTTTCCAGAGTTTATATCCTTTGATTAATCTGCTGTACCATTCTGGTTCTAGTAAACCCTTAGTAAACTTTACACACATAAGGAATTATTGCACATAATTTTTATTTATGATATATTTATGGCTAATGCAATAACATGTTTTGATCCACACATTTAGATATGATTGACATTGGCATGGCAGCTACTGCCATCTCAAAAACAAGAAAATAGTATAATAATGATTCATAATATATTGCTGTCAACACAAAGGGTGATTCTTTACTAGTGTCGTCATGGCAGGTATTGGACAATAAATGTTGAATTGCTGGAGCCAGCCAGAGTGCCTTTTGTGCCATCTCCCTGGCTAATGCTTTATAGGGCCAAATTAGAAATGCACATAGCTGCCAGTGGAGAATTCCCTCTTATCAAGTTTGGAGGCATGTAGAACAGGTATTCTGGTTTTGCTTTTTTGATGAGGTTATGATAGGGGAGAGGTTAAAGTCACCTTCCCAGCTTGCTATTATCTCAACAATTCTCTCTCTCTCTCTCTCTCTCTCTCTCTCTCACACACACACACACACACACACACACCTGGCAGCTATTTGCTAGCTATTTGCATCTTTTAAAAAAGTGTGTTAAATGTAAAAGTGCATGTTAGAAGGGGAGACACATTTAAGATCATAAATATCTGGCCCTAAGATATTCTGGATGTGGGTTGTAGGCATAATAAATGACGAGCTAGAAGGAGCTGGGGCCTGCGGGTCTCTTTAAGGCACAGTGCTGTGAGGTTGGGCACCGATCATTTCATGCTTTCTGAGGAACTGGTTTATAATGGTCTAAGCACTTCATGAGCCAAAGCATGTAGATTTAAAGCAATGTTACTGATATTGGGTTTGAGTGATAGAGGGGTCATAACGTGTTTAAGGTAATAAGCTAGCCAAAGTTAAGCTTTTTTATTAGCAGCCAACACAGTATAGTAACGAGGGGGCTGGACTGGGATTCAGGAGATCCAGGTTCTAGTCCCCACTCAGCTAGGAAGCTCACTGGGTAATCTTGGGCCAATCTCTGACTTAGTCTGATCTACCTCACAGAGTTGTTGTGATATGGAGAGGAGAAGGACCGTGTAAGTTGCCTTGAATAGCTTGTGAGAGGAGAAAAAGGCGGGACAAAAATGTAGGGTTGAGGATGATGATGATGATGATGATGATGATGATGATTCCCATATATTTCAGTAAGAGAAATAGGTGTTCAAAATATGTTATGCATTATTTCATGGCAATCCTTACAACAACCCTGTTGGGTAAGTCAGCATAGTTATTACCCACATAGCCTATAAGATGGGGAAGGAACGGGGACACTGGCTGAGAATGGCTTACCCAAGGCTACCAGTCAGTTCTCGACAGAAGTGAGATTCAGACACGGGGCTTCGTAGCCCAGGCAGAGCCACTCTGCTGCAACAGCTCTTTCATACTTGCATCAGGGCCGCTATTGAAATCAGTGTGGCTTTAACCGGATTGTGCCCCCAGATGAGCATGCTCTTAGCCATTAGCAGGTTCTGCTGTTCCAGTGCAGGCTGAACACTGAAAATACTGAATGAATTGTTAAGTGCACAGCTGGGAATAGGAAAGTGTTGAATGGACTGATTTAAGGAACCACATTTTAAAGTTTTACTTGGAGTACCCCACTAATTAATTATATGAATAGTGCTATTAGTCTTCTCAAATTAATTTGGAGCCTATTCCTTATGCAAGGCTCTCTCATGGAAAGCTCTTCTCGCCTTCCTAGGTCGTGTTGTGCTTCTCCCCGGTGGGTTTCACCCTCAGAACAAGAGCGAGGAAGTTTCCGGCCCTGGTGAACTGCACCGCAATTGACTGGGTCTGTCCTTGGCCGCTGGTGGCCCTCCAAACAGTTAGTGCCAGCTTCATTGACAAGATGGATTTACTTGCTGTAAGTACAATTTGCTTTGCTCCAGGGGCTGGTTTGTTCCCTGCCGAAATGACCTGCCTTGCAGACCCAGCCACTTTTTGCCAGTGCAGAAGCACACAGATCGACCCTCACGGCTCTTACCGAAAATAATGTTTACTGCTGTATCTTCAGTAGTTCTTCACTTTATCTCTCTATCCATCCACATTCATATACTGTGACTCACACTTTCTTTTCCAAACAATGGCATATCCAGACAACTAATAGGAAGCCAATTTAAAATTGCAGGAAAAGCACACGCTACGGTAAGAAAGATTAAAGCAAATTTGTAAAGATAAAAGCAAAAGTGATTGTCTGATTTTTATGCTGAAAGCATGGTAAAATAGGAATGTTTCTGTGAAGTGCCAACACTGCATCCATAGCAAAGCTCAGACCCAAACTGTGAAGGATCCCAACATCCCATAAGGCCGAGCTTCACAGAGGCTCACAAGAAAGAATGACTGGTCAGGCATGAACTGAGTCCCCAGCAGTTGTGGAACAAATACGTTATTTCACCTGCCTTACACAGGTAATACTGCCTTGCCTTGCATATGGATGGATCCCCAGTCCATACTTCACTTCTGTCACAAACGTGCTCCCTTTAACATACTAAGCTACAACTGCCAATGAATTATTTACGTGGTCTGAATGACCAAGGTTATAGTTTTTGTACTGGGTTGGCCATGGATGTATCTCCAAAGAAGAGAATATGCATCACCAGAGAGAACATTGAATTGCATGGCATTGCATTGACTAATGTGTATTGGTAGAATATAAATAGGTAATATATATAGGTAAGAAATCCATGTTATCACAGTAGGGAAGACTGATGAGCTGTGTGGGTCCCGCTTGGTTTACTGTCCAGATGCAAGCCAAAGATGGGCGGCTTCGGGGCCCTTTCCAGATTCTCTTCTCTTGTTACAGCACAGCTGAACTTGAACCAATCAGCCCATCCCAGAGAGCGCCTTCTCAGAGAGCGCTGTCCTCCGCTGTAGCGCTAGAGAAGGCAGCCTAGTTTACCATTTGCAAACCGCCTGTCTCTCAAGAAGGAACCAGAATGGAGTTCTGAGGCTTTCAGTAATTGTGACAAGTCACCGAGACCTGGATGAGAGCAAACGTCGCAAAATTGAGAAGTCTCTGGTGTGTGATGGTAGAACTCAACCAATAGGGCTAGTTAGGCAAACCCAGCACTTTGGAGCCTGTGAGCGTTCTCCAGCCCAGCGTGAGCCAAGCTAGAATCAAACTGCTATTACCTTGTAAATGAGGCAAAAGCAGACTGTTGCCTAACGATAATATTAAACCGTAAAAATCTTTCCATCCACCTAGGTCTAACCTGATGAATTTGCTTCCCCCGAAAAAGCAGAATGAATGGCAGTCACTCCCCATTAAATGCAATTCCTCATCCCTATGGGAAAAGTTTACTTATTCCTAGTACCATATTTTTCAGTAGCATTAACATCCTGAAAATAGAGCAATTATCCTTAAATTATAGAGCTAAATATTGTGTCACAGTTACAGAGAAAGTGGTATTGTTACGTACTACTATGAGAATTTTTTTGCTTCATAAAAGCTACATTTGCAGCTTTTCAGTCTCAGCAAGGTTTCTTTTGTCAACAAGCTACCCTTTCAACTAAATTAAGTAATAGTTTTCGTGCTGTATTTTGTACCGAGAGTGTGTGCATATGTGATGCATTATCCTTCAAAAAGATTTTTTAAATTTAGAACAGATTTTCTTATCTGCATATTAATGCTTTACAAATGATGACAAACAATGATATAATGAGCAGTTATGTCAGTCTCTGATTTTGTACTTAATTTCTAGTAATGTGGTTTAGCTAACTCCTTTCTATTAACTGCACATTTGCACATGATAATAACAGTAATGACAATTAAATAATGATTGACTTTCCCATCGGATATCAAAATTGTAAAAGTCCTTCAACGTGACTTGGAAAGCTGATATTGACTTGGTTCACACAACGCAATAAGCCGTGGTAGGTTAGAAGGCCTACACATGTTGGACGCACCCCAACATCTCTGTGCCTATCAGCCCCTGCACCCACAAGACGAGAGCTGGTCCCGTCGAACGTCCCAGCCTGAGGGTGTGTTCCTCATGTTTGGGCTCCCCAAACCTTCAGGAATAGATTTCTAGGGGCATGGGAGTTTCCAGTGGGTGGGAAGGGCAATGGCAAATCTGAGTGGAAACAGTAGTGCTTTCTGCTAAGATAAAGTCACCACTGGATACCACCCAGTAATGCTAGGCATGAATATAATACAATCAGTGCTTTTTTTGTAAAAAAAAAAAAAAAAAACTCACGTCTTGGGGTCACACTTTTACACAATGGTCGCCGCCGGCAGTAAGCACTCAGCATGCGACCACACGACCGATCCCAAGCCAAGCAGCGTCCCAAGCCGAGCAGCACCCGCACAATCAGCGCCGACAATCAGCGCTGACACACAAGCCGCCTGCAGGCACTATGTTAATGATTTTTGCCGCTGATCTGCTGTGCCCAACAGGGCGATTCACAATCACTTGGAAAAGTCCATCAAAAAAAGGTGCCGAAACGCCATTCCGGTGCGTTCTATGACAAAAAAAGCCCTGAATACAATCAATACAAAATGTTAGTAACGTTAAAGGAAAAAAAATAAAGATAACTGGAGAGGCTAAATTCTAGCCGCCCGTGAAAAGGTGAGCCATGCTGGATCCTGCTGAACATCCTCATCTCCATGCCACCGAGGCAAAGGCTCCAGGAGGAGGGCAACCCGGAGCAGGGCCTCTGCAGATGACCCCAGTGGCTAGGCAGATTATTGAGCCGGCAAAGCTTCTTAAGATACTCTCCTCCCAGGCCTTTTGTGGTCTTGCAGGTCAGAATGGGCAAAGGAACTGAAAGTCAGTGAAAAAAGCATCATAATATCAGAGACTTATGTCTGATGCTAAATGTGAATACTGCCAGCATGTGATTTAACAGGAAAAGCAGCCATGAGAGGGTGTCCAGGGCTACTTACATTACACTGGGCATGCATATTTCAATTCTAAGTACAGGGGTTCGGTTCTCAACCCCACTCTTCTAACACACTGCATTTTTGTGCTTTTAAAACCAACAAGAACGGCAAGAATAAATTTCCACCTGGACTTCATGCGTTTGCAATATGATACCAATGGATGATATAGAAATCCCTGATGCTGTACGTAATTGGTTAAATTTTGCATTCCATTTCTCCCCACTTTCCACTTCTGAGTAGTTCAAGAAACGCAAATATTTTATTTCACAATAAGCAAAGGTGATCGTTTTGTTGTTGTTTTAAAAACATTTGAAAATGAAGTAAATTTGAATCTGCTTCCAAGAGGGTATTTCTACCTTCCCCTGCTAGCAATTATATAGATGCAGAAAAAAAAATAATATTTGGATTTTAAAACTATCCACATTTTTAAAAAAGAGATTGGGACACAGGCAAGAAAGAACTTGGTACAAGAAATCAATCTGGGATTACTGAAAAGGCCTACACAAAACTCAGACACCCCTTTGCCACTCTAGCAGGAAGGAACAAAAAAGATGTACCTTAGGCTAGGAAAGAGCAAGCACAAACCACACCCATTCGACTTGGGTTCAGTAGCGATGATGGACAGTAGAAATGCACCTGAGACAGCAAATCATTAGCACTGAAAGCGCCATTCCCGGCTAGATTTCCTAGGATCATTTCTATACTACGAACTCAGATCAGGCAATTCTGCAATGGGGACCAAGCTATTCATTTACCTACCAGGAACAGTAAACCTTGCATATGCAGCTGAATCCCTGGCAGACACCTGAAAGAAAACACTGAGCCAGAAGGAATATCCTTTTGATGGAAAGGCACCACTGCAAACTCTGACAGATCTGCACCAGTGCCTGTGATTCCTTTAAGCACAGATGTTTGTTTTACACATACAGCCATTAAGACGAGGTCTTTTTTAACTCTACTTCTACCTACAACAGTGTGTGTTGAAAAGTCTAAATGTTGCACTTTAAGATACACCAAGGTACACTGATGACTTCAAACACTGGTCATTGCAGTGTGCTATGATGTCCAGTCAAAAGGCTAAAGACTTCCATGCACGGCTGCTTGCTATTAAGAAACAAAACTTCTGGCCATGTGCTTAAACTGGGTTCTCACAGGGGGCAAACCTGTGACTGACACTCAGGCTAACTGACTGCACGAGGCTTTCGAGGGGTTTGCAATGGGAAAACAAAGTAGGATATAAATTTATTTATTTATTAAAAGCTTTTCTAATCCATCCCCTATAAACGTCTCGGAACGGCTTGCAGTAAATGAATAGACTAAAGCAAACACCAAAGCATTTGACAGTTAAAATACTAAAACCCCAGTTAAAATTAATTAAACATTAAAATAGCAGGAAAATAAAAAGAGTTGTCTATAAATGTAATACAGTATTGAGTGCAGGCGCACATTTGCCCTCCAATACTGAAAAGGACTTGGAGGCAGGTTTAGCAGGAGCAGGAAAATGTCCCCTGTGCAAGAGCATTCAGTCCTGTAAGCACTCGCATTCAGCCCAAGCCCCTGCAGTTACCACCTCAGTGCGTGGGGCTGAATAGAAGCAGGTTTCTAAAGCCCCAGCCATATACCTTTTAAACCGGCCTCTCTCTGAAAGACGGTGGGTACAAAAATTTCATTTGAACAGACACACCCTTTTGTACCGTTGCAAAGCTTCCCTCCCTTCAGAAATTATTTTGCCGCAGGAAAGACTGTCCTTGTCTTCAGGAATCTGTACAAATAGGAAGCCGCCTTCTTTGCTCCTGCCCAACTCAGCATTCATTCCAGGGGTCCAGTCCCATGATTTTGCCTCAGTTTCAGCCTTCACTGGGTAACATTAGCTTAAATTGCAGTCCTGTAGAGGCCTACTTGCATGTAATCATGAACAGCATTGCAGCCTGATATATCAGAAGGTAAGATAACTCTTTTGTGCTGATTTTAAATCAGTTGAC